AATAATGGATGCACCACATGGCAAGTTGTGAAAATGTGTCTTCTGTCTCTTGATCAATGAGGGTGAAAGCTGCACTAATACACCCTGACCAAGCTGATAAATTCAGAGGTATAGTTCAAATAATTAAAAATACATCTGTGTTCATGTATTATATACATATTTTAATATAATACTATTAATGTATAACTTACTTTTCCATATTTTAAACTTCTTGTATGAAGTGATAATGCCCCATCAGAAAAAACTGACTGCACTTCTGCCTAAAGTGACAGCAGAAAAGCACAAAAAGAAATGAAAGAAAAAATTAGTATTGGATATAGACCAATAATGTCAGTTGGCCTATATGTATACTTATTATTTTTAATTTGAAATATAAAATACACTGATAAGATCTCCTTCTTGAAGATATTCTCTCATGGTGAGCTCATCCTCTGCTGACCTTCTCCTCTAGTAGAAAAGCAAAATCAAAAATCAGCAAAATACACTAATGGCAAATTTAGAAATGCACTGAGTCTCACCAGCTCTCCACCAGGCAGATTCACTGATGACAACAGGAGTACAGAGTCCAATCGGGAGTTTGTTTCCACTTTCCAACGTTTCTGCTGAACCTTTTGAATACAGAGAACACATATATATGAATTATGAGTTATACAGCAACATTTTTTTTTACCATACCTCTGTTATTCTCCCTACAACCACATCTCCAACCTCCCCATTGAATCTGTAGAATGAGGCCACAACACACAATGAGAAAGTTAAATTATTAAAATGGTGGACAAACAATTTGTTAACAGTTTTCCTGAATGAAAACTGATTTTTACAGTTTACCTGGTTTTTAGAGGGCTGACGCAAATTAACTTGTCAACTCTCTGCACCTCTCCAGCGACAGACGCAGTCAATTTCTCTTCATCAACATAAGTACCATGACCCCTAAATTTAAAAAGATAGATTGGTCTCATTAAAGGTGCGCCATGTAACTTTCTGGTGAAGTGTCTCAAAGTTACAAGTAGGACTGGGCAATTAATCGAGTTAATTTATGTTTGTAATGAAAACATGAAATCCATCCATCCATTTTCTTCTGCTTTATTTGGGGCCAGGTCGCAGGGGCAGTAATCTGAGCAAGGAGACCCAGACTTCCTCTCTCACACACACATTTCCTCCATCCCGAGGCGTTCCCAGGCGACCCGAGAGGCATAGTCCCTCCTGCGTCTCCTGGGTCTTCCCTGGGGCCTCCTCTTGGTGGGACACGCCAGGGGGGCATCTGGAAGAGATGCCCAAGCCACCTCAGCTGGCTCCTCTCAACGTGGAGGAGCAGCAGCTCTACTCCAAGTTCCTCCTGTGTGACTGAGCTCTTCATCCTATCTCAAAGAGAGTACCCAGCCACCCCGCAGTGGAAACTCATTGAGGATTATTATCAAACAAATTTACTCCTGATTTTATTACTCGCAAAGCAATAGTTACTGTGCTTTTTTTTTTTTTTACCATATTGCCTAGCCCTAGTTACAGGTTACAGCTGTGGAGAGGCTGTTGAGAGGTCAGAGAACAGTAAGAATGCAGGTTTCCATTAAGGTATTTTCTTAATTTAAGAAAACCCGTAACTGTAACGGAGAAGGATTTATGTTTTACTGTGGAGAATTCCAAGCAAAGCAATAACATCTCCATGGAGATATGCTGGTGGCAGAAAAGTTACACCTTCAAATTTTACAAATGTATATCATTCGACTACCTCATAAAACCGGTATCTGTTGTTATCACATCGCCGGGCACCACCAGATCCTTCCGATCAAAAAAAGAACCCGATAAAGTCAATGGTTTTCGCACAGTTGGTAGTCTCATGTCAGCCATGCTTGCTGTTAGGTCTTCTTCAGGATTTTGGCACAAGCCTTGAGACAAAGTGCTTACCGCCCCCTAATGGCAGCTGTAACCCCTCATTATGGTATTAGTGGTGGATAAACATGGATCTGTTAAAAATAAAGATAAATAAAATATAATGTATTAATAAGAGTTGAAGAAGAATTGCAAACAACAACCTACGCTGACAGCGTAATGTTGTTACAGTGATACATACATAACAGTAAAAATCAGGTCTTGTTTCTCCCAAACGCTCTTATACCACAAGATGTCGATGTTTAGCTACGGTTTTTTTGACCCCACCACATCGACAAAACGGAACGGTGACGTCTCAGGTCAACAAGACGAAAGCGTCTTGGCCGCAGCCAATCAGCGCACAGACTGAAGTGCTCTTGTAAAGATGGCGTCCGTGAGGGTTGTACGAGTAAAAGCTGGACGCTTCGCCGTCGCTAGCTCTGATTGTACTTCATTTGAAACAGTCCGAGCGAGTATTACCTTTGTTTATATTGTCTAGGGAACTCATTATCAGTCCGAGTTTTATTGCGGGGGTTTCTTTTATCTTCGCTTATGATCGATTTGGCTGGTTATTAGCTTCAACTTGGAAAAGCCAGCGCTAGCCCTGGCTAAGCTATGTAACGCCACAGCTGTTTTGGCATCTTTGTGTAGCGTTCCTGGAGTGATATTTTGGGAAGCAAAGTACTCGTGTCGATCTGTTTGTTTTTTTTTTTTTTACAAAACAAAAACTGCTGGTAATGACTCGGTTGGATTAAAATAATTTTGTAGTTAGCGGGTGACTGGTCCTCTGGCATTGCGACACTGTTTTGGAGTGTCACGGTGGAGTAAGCCGTCATGTATTTTCTTACCGGCTGGCCCCGGAGGCTGCTCTGTCCACTAAAGAGCAAGGAAGAGCCCTTCTTCATCCAACCCAGCTCCCAGCGCTTTTACTTCGCCGTGGTCTCTCAGACTCAGCTGAGCATCTGGTTTAGTCGGGTAGGTCCCTCTCCAGCTTTATTTACCATGCAGCGTCCAGTATTTGGCAGTGACATTGCTATGATTTTCTTTATCTCTTCTATTCACAATTGTAAGTACATTATCTACACAACATTTGAATAGCTGACTGCAAGGTGTATACAGCTTCCCCATTTGCTCACTTTCAGTCTTGAGAGTGGCTCATCTCGTCATGGTTGGCTACTGCTTTGTTGATGGGTTCTAACAAAGTCTCTCACATATACGGGGCATATTACACTTTTACACTGACTAATCCCATCAGTACCCAGTCTCCGGTTAAATTCAATTTATTTAGTGGAATAGGAATCCCCGTAATTTCCTGTCAACATGTCACTGAGCCTTTACAGCCATTTCAAAGGAAGAAGATGTTTGTAGTTTGCATTGTTCATACAATATTTTTTGTTCATTTGTTCCCCATATTTATGTAGTTACTAATAGTTACCAGTTTTATATGGATACGTAGAGATCGACCGCTTTACGTTTTTCCATCGCCAATGGTTCGAATCCAGAGCAGCCGGTGGCCTGTTATCTCTGCCGATGTTCTGCCGATGTTTTTTAGACCAATATGTGTGAAATGATGTGTGATATGATGGCAATTTTCCCCGAATAATCTAATTTGAATTTAATACAGACCCACCCATGACCTTGTTTTACTACGTACTGGATGAGGGAGCAGTGTATTCATATTTTTGCACTCCCCCTTTTGCAAGATAGGCTTTATGCACATGTTCTCAGTGCATATTTAGGCAGCTGGTTGGACCAAACTAAATATCTACCTGATATGCCAAAAAAACTTCCAACGGCCTGATATATCGACCAACCGATATATCTCTGTCCAACAGTAATGTACAATAAGTAGCCTAGATCAGTAATTTCACCCATTTTGTCTCATATGGGACCATACAATACACTTGTTGGGGTGCCTTTTTATTTTATTCCATCAAGATGATTGAGGCTTTCCCTAAACCCTTATTAGAGTTACAGTTACATTATGACAGCAACTATACTGTTCATCAGGTGTGTGTTTTTCCTACCATATATTACACAGACAATTTCCACACAGGGAATGTTTGTTTGCCCAGATACAACCCCAAGTCAATACACACAGCCTGCAGTAAAATGTGAAATGCACACTGTGAACACAACTCATTTGTACCATTAATACTACAATTGTCACCACTAATTATATGTGATGTTTTTGGATTTGTCCACAGCCCAGTGTTTTGATTGTCAGCTACATTGAATCAGTAAAAGCTGCGACCCAGTTTGGATCTTATGAAAAAGCGGAATGGAAACCAGACGACTCGATGATAGCTGTGGCGGTAAGCAGTGTTCCTTATTCACTTCTCACGTTCATACTGAAGAAAATGATATTTTAGTGTTTGTGAAAAGACAGTTTTGGAGTTGTAAAAACGGCATCAAATTCACAACTGCAGCAGGGGCACAAATTATAGAATGAATGATTGGCTGCAGGTGTTTAGGTAGGGTTTAGGTAGTGAGGATTGAGATGAGAGAGAGGCTTTTAGGTTTAAAACAACTGGATTTCAGCATTGCAACTGGCAGAGGGACTCGTGCGAGGCTCTTTCTACTTTCTGATTGGACAAAAACACCAAATTGTAACATAAACAATGTGGAAATCATGTCCAACTCTTTTTGTAATTAAGAATACGGGATTAAAGTTGTTGTCACTAAAAGGTATGTTTGTTTTGAATATGTCTGCCCTGTAACTGAGAACACAGATGGGTTATGTTTGCGAAATTTAAAGTCGAATCTTGCTTACGTTTCCTTTTAAAATATCAACACATTTTACTCAGAATTTGCTGAAATGTTCATTTGTACTTTCTTTGCTCTGGCACATGGAGAACTAACTTATTGTTCATGGCCATACCAGCTTGTCAAAGTCTGATCTCATCAAATCTCAAAAGCTAAGCAAGGCCTGGCCTAGGTAGTACTTGGATGGGACACCACTTGGAATTCCAGATGCCACAGTGGGGTGCCAGTGCCAAAAACTGTAGCTGTGTTCTTAGGCAAGACAATTCACCCACATTTCCTAGTCAGAAAGTGGAGTGTGTGTGTATGTAAGTGTAGGTGGTGGCCGGAGGGACAGATGGCCTAATTATTTAATTAGTTTTTATTATTTTGTGCGGTAACATGTGAGCTATATATTGTCAAATATATTTCATTTACAATATGGTTAAGTTAGACAATATTTTAATGAGATTGTCAGTGGCATGAGTATTTTAAAGTTTCTTGTGATATTTTTAAGTAATATATAATAGCATTTGAAATTTGTGTTGTTGTGACAACCAGGCATAGTTGGCAAACAAACTTTGAACCAAACTGATTTGTTATTTGGGCAAAGTGACCAATAATTGCAGTTATGCTGTTCTAGTAACTACCTCCTTAATTTGCTTGTTGCATATTTTCACCTACTACAAAAAGACATTTAAATAACTATTAACAAATATTAATACAATATTAGTTAATAGTAATAGTTAATAATGCAAACAACTCATGTTTAGTTAATGATAAAAAAACAAACAAAAAAAAAAACTATTAACTTGTGACAAACTGATATTTTTGTAATAATTAACAAAGGGTTAGGTAGTTTGCTACGTATTATGACACCTTATTATAAAGTGTTACCAAAAGTCTTAGAACACCCTCATTTTTCCAGTTATTTATTACAATTCAAGTCGTGCAAGTCCAATGAAGAGCTTGAAATGGTACAAAGGTAAAAACTGGACAGCCAGAAGTTTAAAAAAAAAGATAAAAGATACTACTACCTCAGGAAAAAAGAACAAGATGGTGAGTTTGAAAACATGGAGTGTCCAGCAGCACAGTGTCCAGACTTAAACCCCATCGTGCTGGTTTGGGATGAACTGGACAGAAGAGTGAAAACCAAGAAACCTACAACAGACTTGGGAAGAACTTTCTGAAGAATATTTGATTTCTCTTGTAAAAAAGAACAAGTCCCGGGTGTGTTCAGCTGTTATATCTGATGGATGATGGACACTTTCATGAATCAAAAGTTTAGAATACATTTTGGTCAACTGTAAAAAAATTTAAAAGAGCGTAGTGTTCTAAAACTTTTGACCGGTAGTGTAAATAAAACAAGCCCCAAGCCCCACCCCTCTCTCCAACAATCGCTTACATCCAATTTCCTCGATGGACATGTGAGCAGATACGACATACGTAGAGGTACAGTAATTCCACAACTGTTACCTAGCAACCATTTTAATCAAGCCTTGGTTAAATAGCACTCTAGTTATTATTAGACTAATACAAATAAATGATAACACCTTTTGTTTGGTTAGATTAACGTTTAACCTGCTAAAAAAATAAAAAGTTACTCACGCTTAAATTGTTCTTGCATTTTTTTATGGCATTTTCGGTGATGACATAGCTTACAGTAGATAAGATTTTATTTTAAAATGCATTCTTTTGTCACAATCTGTCACTATCAATCTGATTTACTACAAGATTTACTACTACTACTAGATCTAACACCAAAAAAGTAATAATTAGGTTAAAGTTCCTATGCGCAAATTGACACTTGTGAACTTTAAGACTTGTTATAATGTTGTTACTTCCTCTAAAATACCTGGAGTTGTTAAAAGAGGAGATGAAGTTAACAGCTACGTTTTATCTTTAGTTAGTAGAGATCGGAAATTCCATGGCTGCAATTATCCACCATTCAAGTGAAGGTGTTTGTAGCACTTCCTGTATTCCCACATGACATCACAAGTTGGAACAGTGTGACAAAATGCGTGAATGAAACGACTAAACCGAGGCATGTTTCTGATGAGGAAATAACTTTATAACGGATCAAAAATGGCGTAATATGTGACCAGAATACCGGAACAACTGCACCAAACATGCAGGCTTTTCACACCGGCCTCCTGCTGCGATCCTGCTGATTCTGTTCTTCGGAGAAACTTTGAGCTCCCTGTCAATTTGCCAAAAGTACAGCAGCTTTTGATCATCTCTCATCAACCGGGGGCCGCGCGGGCAGTCTCACTTGGGTGGAGCTCAAGTTAAATTGGAGCCTGTATAAATCTCCGGGATGGTCGTAATATCTGGTGGTTTTTATGATTTTGGAGATTTGGAAATCAATTATGTGCTCAGAGGTTTATTAGTGAAGTAAAAATGGGGACTTTCTGATTGAGGAGTCGGTCAATGATTGTAAAAATGATTGGTTCGTATGATTTTTTCTCTTTTTTTTGTTTTGGATCCTTGTCAAATGAACTGCTTTTTGTTCTCGTCGGTATCAGCCTTTAGTTTCCCCTGACTATAAAATTGTAATTTAACTGAGGCATATTTTAAATCCGTAATTAGCTGCCTGTAAAAGTAATGTTCATTTGTAGCTTAATTAGAAACAGAAAGTAATGTGATAGATTATGCATTTAAAGCTTTGTACTTCCTTAAAGGTGCATCGTGTAACTTTTCTGTTGAAGAGTCAATCAAATCTTTTTTCTCTGTGAAGATGTTGTGCTTTGCCTGAAATGCTTCACATTATGGCATTAAACCTTTCTATCTTCATGGAGACCAAAATAGACCAAGTTACACGTCAGATCTGTGGTGAGGCAGCCCCACTCACAGTCCGAATGCCATTTTTGAGCTGTAAAACCATCTGTAATTGAATGAACGGTAAAGCAAAGCAATCGGGCCACACTGTAAGTTTTTAGGGGGCCACAATCCTATTTTGTCCATAGAAAATTGGTTATTTTGCCTGAAACCCTCTACAAAATGGCATAAATCCCATCTGTCTCCATGGAAACTAGTAGCTGACTCCATCAAACCAAGTCTGTTTTGGCCGTACAAACACCTGTAATTGGATAAGTTGAAGATAGATCAGTTTAAAACACACTGTGGAACATTCCCAGCAAACCAATAACGTTTTCAAGAGACAAAAGGTGACGGACCTTCCACCGGGAAACGTACATATTGATACTTTGCAGCTTCAACATTCTCTGGGGGTGTGCAGCTAACTGTAGG